ACGGCAGCAGCGGAAAGCCACTGTGAGCCCCTTTGTAGCAAGAAGTTAATTTATTCAATATGTACATAGTAGTGGGAGGAGGCCTTGTAAATAAGGGATTAATGTGCCTTGAATAAGAGCTTTTACAATAATTATACATATATATATTTTTGGACTTTGTATTTTGCCTTCTTGTGAATGTTGGCGACGTACTCGAGGTATTGGACGCGGCTGGTTGTCAGTCCACTGCGTGTTCTGACGCTGACCTGACCTAAGGGCGATCCTGGCCCCCCGTTGTAGTCCTCAATTTACTTGACATGTGTCCCACAGCTCCGAAGGTAAGCTTTTCCCTCCGAATTTGAATTGGTACTACGGTAATGGCTGGGCTAAATCTGTTGGAGAATGCGCATGTTTCATTACAAACTCGACAGCGTTTCGCCTTCCTTATTACGTAAAAAGTTGAACGCTTCGACACACGTCTTGCTTGCTCTTGGCGTCAGGCATTTTTGATTTTAAGGCCCGCACTTCTTCGTACATTTGAGTTGTAACTCGCCAAAGTAGTAGCTAACCTGCCCTCGATACGAAGTGTAGCGGTCCTGCCGTCTTCATTTGTTTTCAGAGAAATCCTAAAGCAAATTATCTTTCTCTGTCTCTCTCTCGTGAGTGGGAGTAGGGTGGTGTGGCTTACACAGTTTTAAGCAGCAGGGGCAAGGACCACGTCACGTCAACCCCAGGATTTAGGCCAGTAAGAGGAGAAGGTCTGCTTGCTGTGTACGAGATTTCGCAGTCTCCCATCGTTCATGAAACATTACATTGTCATTCACTGCCTGTTAGAACGGCAAGAAAACATTGTAAAAGTATTCAGCCAACATTAGTATTATATTTTTTATGGCCAGTATTTCCAAAGAACTGGGACCGATCTGGCAGTTAGCTCCATTGTAGTATTGTATTTTATGAACCGGTTCAAGGCCGCCTTGCCAAATGGCCAGTAACAAAACGAAGCTTGAACGCCGATTTGTGATCCAGAAAGGTTGGCCCTTGTTCCACAATCCCGAACACTGTGGCCGTGATGCCCAGAGCTGTCCATCACCGCACACGTGGTCGAATTGAATAGTTTGTTTCCGGGTTATCGCGGAATGTGTCGTCGGACGTGGAAATAAGAACCAAGGTTTTCGTAATGCCCGCCCTCTTAGCTGGTTATCGCTGCTCGAAAACCTCTGTATCTGAAATTCCGTGTAGTACGGAAACGCGGTAACCCAGGAACCCTTGTCGCTTTAAGTACCCAACGCTTGCTGTATTAATAAGTAGAGATAAACTACAGCTCGTCGTCATGAAGCCATTGGTAGGTACATCGCCTTTAATCAGTCCACTCTTGAAACCTTAACCACTTTTACATTCGTTTTAGCATTTTTCATACACAATAGTTGAGCAGTACATTCTTACACTTTAATTAATAAAAATCTTTTCGTGTGTAACTTCCGTTCAAAGTTACAGGAAGATCACCTTCCAAATGGTTCCCACAGTTGTTGAAACGGAACTCGCACGGGGTGAGGTCTGGCGACCTTGGTGGCCAAACCACACGAACATGTCTTCCAATTCATCTTCCAGAGCTTATTTACCTACCTTTCTTATTAATGTTTACCTTATAAAATTCTGTTCTTAGTCGATGGATGTTTTTTCTCATTAAAGAAACGCGAGTTTCTTTTGTTTATCAAAATCATATCATATATATATGTCAAGGCTGTGGAAATGTCTAGATTTTTATTAGCAGTAACTGTTGTTTCCTTGGAGGCCAGTAATAATAACTTTTCTGCAATAAACGTTCCTGCCTGCTCCCGCTATCCCGATTTATTCCCGAGGCAGTGCTGACTGCTTTGAGGACTTTTCGTCACTCGTAAATAAGTTGATAATCGATCTTATTGACAGAGGGACCAACTTTTTACTTGGAAGGGTGGACTTTTGTAGATAAAAATGGGATACAACAGTGAGTTAACGACGTGAAAATATCAGATAATTCTGGTGTTTAACACTTCTCATGTTGTTATATTGTTACAAATAAAATATATGGTCAGTATCTTTGTATTTGGTTTATAAACTTTATAATTTATTGTAGTGCTCTATCGATATTTTTAGATGTAGACTATGATGTAAATATTAATTGTACATGTAAGTTTCTTGGCCAATCATTTAAGGTGTATTTTCTTGTGTACAATAATAAACTTTTCCTGTACATTTCAAGGACAGTCTTTGCTTGGTACAACATTACGTATTTATGTGGTTGAAACATTCCAATTTGACGGTACAAAGAAGTGCTGTCTGTACTCCTATGAGAAAATAAATCTTATGTTCTTGTTTACTTAATGTTGTTATTTTTATTTTTATGTTTCTTAGATTTACCTTTTATTTAATAACCACAGCCCGAAAAAATCAGATATTTTTAATAACGAAAATTTGTGTAACAATATTTTCTTTCGAATATCAAGGGTAAACATTCCTCCATTATGGAAGTATTACGAATACCTGGAATAATCTGTTGGTATTTGTAAATTTCTGACTTGTGATGTGATTGTACTTATTCCGTGCAGCAAAATACTTACGTGAAAGAAACCCTGTGTTCACAAGAGCCCAATCCTATATACTCCTGAGGCAAATCGTATCTTTAAAATCCATTTTAATATTATCCTCTTATTTTACCTCAGTCTCCCAAGCAGTTTTTTTCCCTTGAACTCTTCCAACTGAAATATTTTATGCATTAATTCGCCATGCGTGCTGCATGCTCTGTTCAGTTCATCCTTTGTTTTCTGACCCTAATACTGTTCGACAAGAAGTGCAAATTGTGAGACAAAGTCATATTTTGCTTGCGTTTGTCTGTCCATACTTTAGAAATATTTTAATAAACCAGTTTCGGAATTAAAAGGATGTTTTTAAACTAAATTCAAAACTGGCAACAAATTTTCTTAAATGTGGACCAAAATTGTTAGTTTTCACATTGTGACCCCATGTTTTGTGACACCGTGTACTCCTGTTGGTCGTATCAGTTTTCCCCATCTTCAGGGTATTCTCTTAAACGTTGGTAGCAGTTACGGGACTGCAGTCTGACAAGGCGTTCGGTGTTTGAAGCGAGAATACATTATATTCAATTAATATGCAAGGAAGTATTTTCTGTCCGAATAAATACTTGAGGTCAAACAGTATATTATTCCAGTAATGTAAACCTTGAAAATATGGCGGATTTTGCAAAAGAAATCGCGGATATTTAGGTAACACGTAGCAACATTTCTGATGCCTAGTTGGCGACACTGTTCACAGTGGGTGTAGGCATCCATAAAGAGGAAGGTAGTGAAAATAGGATGTTTCCTGTGCGCTAGTGTTGCAGTTATTTATTTAAATAAGTTTTGGTGAGCACGAATTTCGTGGTTTGATGTGGAAATATTCGTCGTGTTGCTGTTTCACAGTTTCAATCTGTTATGTTGCTACGATGCAGTCAAGACTAATGGCTGTGTACAACGAATGTCAGTTGCTTGCTACAGTATTATTAATCCTGAAAAATTAGTGCAATGTTTTTCGTCGGTGACTTAATTACTGCATGTGGATTAAAAATTACATCGAAACTTCGCGATTGGTGGTTTATTATGCTAGGGCGTGCATGTGAGGTTAGAAGTCGAATGACTCGACACAATTCACCAATTTTAGTTCTCTTTTCCCGCTTCATGACTTTTTAACCGTGTTATAGCTGAAAGTGTGGTGTTAAGATGGCATAATATCCGGACTGAAGATGCATTCTTCAAGAAAGCGTGAGTACTGTTTCAGATTATTCTGTAGTTTAGCATTGCTTTATATAAACTCATACAAATTAATTAAATATTTCGTGTGCATTACACAGTGCAGCATGTCTTCAAAACGATGACCTTGTACTGAAGTGTCTTGCCCTTCGCCATTTTCAGGAAGTTTTAAGAATTTCCTCAGCTTACATTAATAACATTAGACTGCATAATACTTGTATTTAAGAAACTGCTTCGATAAACCTGACAGAAAAAATTGGATTATGAAGTAACTTCACAGTATAGCAGACCATTTTGTAAGATATATTAAGTGGTGACCACTACAGAGCACAGGACCCCTGCTCCCAGAGAAAAAAGTTGTTTAATATTTCAAATTAAATTCATGTTAATACTATTAATTTGTGATTTATCACTGTGCACATAGTGAGTTATGTGTTCAAAGCAGGTTCATTGCACCTACATTAAGAATTATATGTTCACTTGGACACAGAACTGCCAGTTACTTGTGAAATTACCTGGTGTTTGGTGACAGAACAGAAATGATCTGTGTAATGTGGATACCCATCGAAGGCCTCATACAGCCTGGCCAACAGAACAGAACTTATTTACATTTCATAGGCCCAGGCCAAGGAAGGAGGAGCATGTCATGGCACAAACACAATCTGCATTGTCAATGACAGTCAAATCACAAGAAGAATTACAGAAGAAAGTGTACCCACTGTTGTAGCTGAGGATTTATGGAATGAGAGGAATGAGAAAGGAGTTTACATCTCGACTGAGCCTGGGATTGAGTGGCTTAATTCCAGGGCAGTAATTCGTTTTTTGGTATTACTAAGTGTTTATTTACATTCCATAGACCACACCAAAAGATGTGGAAAGAGTCGATACTAGCACAGAACATGAAACCTAAGACTTCTGAAGAGGCACAGAAGAAGGAGTGAATTTGGGAGGAAATCTTGAATTTCCTACAAGAGTCTCTGCCATTTTTCTAATTATTTTCTATTGCTGTCTGTTGAACCTCCCCAGGAGATTGGCCCTTGTGACTACAGCGTCGAAGTAAGTGATGCTTCTGTTGTCGTGAGGGGCGAAGCTTAGTTTGGGACTAATCTATTCAGTGTGCTTCTCCTTCCAGCATTAATTTTCTGTCAAAATCTGTATTTAAACTAGGACATGAAGGTTGCATCTAAGTTTGGCTGAAATTTTTCAATGT